ACATAAAATTAGAATAGAGCACACACACAGTGACATAAATTCCCAAAAGATGTGCTGATCTCCCAGAAACCACTGGAGATCGCACCCAAACTCCTATCTTTGCCAAAAACAGCACTAAAGTGCACAGGGTTAACTAACACACAACCTGCTTAACACAGCAGAACATTATATTTAGGGAAAAAAAGGCACATATTAAGTGATTTAGAAAGACAAAATGTGCAATATTTAAAACTTCCTCCATCCGGAATAAAAATATTCAAGTACCGCTGAATAGAACTTAGAAAAGAATTTTTTTAAAAAAAAGGATTACCCCCACTTGTAAAATGAGGTTAAATGAGCTGAATGAACTTAGAATAAGCTCAAAGCTGTAATGTGTTTATGAGGACCCTCAGTCTTACGTTTCTTATTGAACATCTTTCAAAGTTGTCACCTGATCAGCGTCCTGTAATGTTCTGAGTGATGTACTTCTGGGCCTCATCTGGGGTGGAGAAAGTTTTTTCTTCGTTGTTATAGGTGATCCGGAGCCGGGCTGGGTAGAGGATGCCAAAACGCACCCCCTCGATCCCACGAAGCTGCTGTCTGATGTCATTGTACGCTGCACGGGCTTTGGCGGTTTTGGCGGTGTAGTCGGGGAAAACTGAAAGAGACATCCCGTTTATCTTGATCCGCTGTTTTTCCCGTGCAAGGCGAAGAATGTTTGCACAGTCCTGATAGTAATGGAAGCGGGCCATAATGACACGTGGAGGGTTTCCCCTTCCAGGCACCGGGAGAAGTGAGCGGTGCGCCCTGTCCAGCAGCGGCGCGTCTTTCAAACCAAAGGCCTGCTGAAGCAGTGCCGAAACGGCGGATGCAGAACAGGCTTGAGCCTCGGGTACCCCAACTAGCCTGACGTTGTTTCTCCGCGACCTCGCCTCCAGATCATCACATTTATTTTGCAAGGTGTCAGTCACTGCGGTGAGACGCCGTACTTCTCTCTGCAGCTGTGAAATGTCATCCGTGCATGTAGAAAGGCTCTCCTCCATACCTTTTACCGTGACGTTCAGCGATGACAACTCGGATGTAATTGCCTCTCTGTACTCCCTCAGGTCGGACCGGGCTGCATTAATGTCGGCCCTCACAGTTGCCATCTCACTTTCCAAGACGTTCCGGACCTCTGTTTTTAGAGTGTCTATCAAGTCCTTCCGCAGGGAGGACAGAAGTTCGCGTCTGATAGCCTCCGTGTCAATCGTGGAATTAGCCACATCCAGGTCTGCCCCACCTGAAGAGCCTTTGTTAACGGAGGCCGCAGGCTGATTCGGGGAAATAGGCCTCACTTGTAGAAGGGTTGTTTGCTTTCCTCTGGTCGATTTTCCAGCCATTTTAGGTTATTCTATTAACTTAACAACTTTAAACTAAATCCAGGCTGGAGTTTCTTTTGTCAAATTGTGCCAAATAATGTATTTTTTAAAATTGTCCTGCTCTGCTCGGCAAAATGCGACTTACTCCATTGCTCGCTCAACAGCGCCCCCTGTTCTTTTGTTTTTGTTGTTCTCTGAACACTGTCAGTCTTTGGACGTCATCTCTGTGGGCGTCTCCTCCTGAGAGAAGTCCAACAACAGTTGTGTCGCTGGTAACGTAATGATGGTGTTCAAGTTATGGACAACAGTCTTGATTCTCAAAGATGTCTCCTTTAGTCTTTCAAAAACATCCTGCTGCTGTGAGGCCATGTTCTTACAGTTCTTATGGTGGGTTGAGCGTTTCCTCTGAGGGGGGTGTACGATGGGGTCAAGGGTATAGACGAGTGGTTTGACTGGCCTAAATGTAGAAGTGGTGTTGATTTAAAACTTTTCTCGATGTTAGAATACGCTTTTTCCAGTGTTTTTTTTTCCGCTGAAATGACCAATGTGTTGCTCAGATTTGGCAATGAGATGTCTTTACATTTGCATGGTAAAAATCCCTAACTGTGATATGAGCTGCCTCTGGATATGTGCTCTGCTGTGAGGTAAACAGGTCTACAATTTACTGTCAGGTACTCCAAATGATGAGAACAGTGGCTGTCTATGATTTTGACGTTAGTGCACCAGTTGTTGTGGTCATACATACACAATCCTCCTCCCTTGCTTTTACTGGAGTTCTTCTGTTCGACCACATTCCAAAACCATTTTACTGGGTTCAGATCTCATGACTGGGGAAGCCACTGAAGTCCACTGAACTCGTTTTATGTTCATGGAACTAGTTTGAGGTGACATGGTACGTTATCATCCAGACGTAGCCATTAGAAGACATGTAAACTGTGACCATGAGAATGCACATGGTCACCAGCGGTAGTCATAGACTGGAGCATTCAGACCACCATTAACTGATGTTAATGGGGCCACCATTAGCAGCCTGCTCTGTAACCCAAGGCAGTTTTCATCAGACCAAACTATGTCTTTCCGGTCTTCACCTGAGGTCTTTGCTTTTGTAGCCCATAAGCCTCAACATTGGATGTGTTGTCCATTCTGAGATGCTTTTCTGTTTAGTATAGTTTTAAAGACCTTTCTGGAAGCTCGAACCACTCTGGTCATCTCCTGACCTCTCAGCAACAACACTTACGTCTGTATACTTTTGTTTGTTTGTTTTGTTGTTACACCATTCTGAGTGAACCCCTGAGATTGTTATGACAATACAAGGAAACCAGCAGCCAGTCAGCTGGCATTAAAAACCACACCGTGGTCAAAGTCACGACCATCTTTTCTGCCTTTTTGGGGCTGCTTGCTAACTTTCTGTCATGTTTATTGTGCTTTACTCAGAGCGGTACCGGGCCTTACCCTGTCCTTCTGCACAACTGAAGTTTTTGGAGCTGCAGAGAGAACTGGTGGATGACTTCCGCATAAGACTCACGCAGGTAATACTGAATAAAAAACCCTCAAATAATGAACCAAAGAGAGGAATACTGTGATAGAACAAGAGGCTGTTGAAATAGGGCTGAGAGAGTCCCTAGAGATGAGCGATCACCTGAAATCACAGTTGTTCTTAATTAGTTCTTCTTACTGAAGAGTATTTCTAGATTTTGTATAATCATTGTTATTTTGTCATGATGACGTTACAGATGCGCTTTTAATAAATAATCAGGTAATATTGTTAGAAATAAAAATATTTATTGGGTTAGGGTTAGGGTTATATGTGTTATGTGTTATATATGTTCTATGTTTAGAATTAAACATCAATAATACAATCAATATTATGGTGATAGCAGTCTGCCAAAAACCTTATTACATCCACTGTATAAAAAGACATTAAAAACTTTTCTTTCTCACTGTTTGACATTAAATCAGACTAAACTTTTCCTGTTTCAGGTCAGTCAGGATGACCAATTATTATATTATTATTTTATTACTTATTATTATATACCATTATTTCTATTTGCTAAACTCGAGAATAATGAGAGAGAGAGAATGTTTTTTGACTTTCTTCAGAGTCAGAAGTTTACCTCCATCTCCTTAGTATCTGGTAGCATTGCCTTTGAACTGTATGACTTGGGTCAAACGTTCTGGGTTTACCTTCACAAGCTTCTCACAACAGTCTGATGAATTCTGGCCCATTCCTCCTACAAAGAGGTGTACATGAGGTCAAGAATGTATAGAAGAGTTACAAGCACTTTGTTCACCTAAAGAGGTCCATTGGTTCAATGTCTTCTCTAAAAGATGAACTCCAGACCAGGAAAGTCATTTTTCCTTCACAAGGTCCATTTTAAAGTCATGATTCAGGTGTACCCCTCTGCTTCCTCTGTTGTTTTGTCCATTTTTTGTCAATTTTTATTTAGGATGTAACAATAGTTTTTGCATCATGTTTGAATAGAAAGAGAAGAGGGGAGAGATGGATGAGTGAGACGGACGTGGTTAATGTGGTTATTGGTCCTTTCAGGTGATGAAGGAGGAGTCCCGCTGCCCACTGGGTGTCCGTTACTGTGCCATCCTTAATGCTGTCAACTACATTTCCACCATTCTGGGAGACTGGGGAGACAACGTGGTATGTGAGCTTCATACATGCATTTATAGATGTGCTTCTTGCCGAGGCACCATTAGAGTGTGGCCAAAGCTGGACAGTTCTCAGATCTGTCACCTGTGCATGAATATGTATGGCATTACATCACGCCAAAGAGAAATACTTATTTTTGACCGTAAGCCCAAAGTTCTCTCCAAAGGGCACTGCCACCTTGGTGTACTACAACTGGTGATACCACAGGGTGGGTTAGCTTCACGGGTTTAGAGACAAGATGGTGAAAGATGGAGACTGAGGAGAAGACAAAGCGGAGGCCACTACTACAACCCCTGGCAAAAATTATGGAATCACCAGTCTTAGAGGATGTTCATTCAGTTGTTTAATTTTGTAGAAAAAAACAGATTACAGACATGCCACAAAACTAAAGTCATTTAAAATAGCAACTTTCTGGCTTTAATAAACACGAAAAGAAACCAAAAAAAAAAACTGTGGTAGTCAATAACCATTGCTTTTTTAGATCAAGCAGAGGGAAAAAAATTACATTACTCCCGGATTTAAGGTTGAATTTTACAGGGTTAAATCCATAAACAGTCCACTCTCTTAACCTGAAACAGAGGCCAGTCCTGATGCTCTGCTAGCAGCACTGAAGACCAAGCGCCTCGATGGGCTCTAACTCCAGGGTTTGTCGGAACACCTTGTAGAGGAAGATGACACTGAGGAGAAGGTGGTGGAGTCCAGCAAGCTGGTGGTTCACTGGACCGACAGACTGATGCTGTCTCATCAGTGTTCAGTTTCATTGGTTATAGTGTCGCTCTGCTGACCGACCAACATGCTCTGTATTCACTGACACCAGTCAAAGACTCGTAGAACATCATCACCGACAGCAACACAGTTCAACACAAGGCCTCTGAATGTGTCTGACTGACACGTTTCACTGTGAACACCTGTTGTCACCTGCTGACACAAACATATGAAAGAATAACTGTGTACTGCTCTCTGTACCTTCCCTTACATATAACCCTTTAACTGCAATGAGCAGCCAGAGGATGGTGCGATTTTTGGTCTCACTAACAGTTATTCATTTGACAATTCCATTTTCCTTCTTCAGTTCTTCCTGCAGCTGCAGCAGGCGGCGGTTTCACTCGGTGAGGAGCTGGTGCTGAGAGGCCAGGGCGTGATGGAGGTGGGACGCCTGGCTTCACTGGAAGGTTCTCTGTTCGATGGTCTACTGGCGCTGCTGGATCGACTGAAAGGAGACATGTTGGGACGACTGCTGGAGTGGACCATGAGGGAAATCACAGAAAAAGCTAAACCATACTGCCAGGACAGGTGAGAGCTTGATGAGGAGTACTTGGTTGATTGGTGTCTTACAGCTTTGTAGCACCATCCTCATAGTTGAGACAAGTATCTCTGATATACCCTGTGAAGCCTCATATTCTGAAAGTATTCAGAAATCTTCACTTCTTGCACACTTGTAGATTACATTTTTAATGGATTGCACTGAAATTGTTCCCCATCAAGTTGAATGCATATGTTCATGTTAATTAAAGTGTGCAGACACGAGGCGGTAATTAGTCAAACAAACACTTAAGACAAAACATTGTAAACTCTCAGTAAATAAATAAAAAGTCTGCAAAGATAATACCCAAAGAAAGATGTCAGTGAATACATTCAGTTAATTTACAGATGGATTTATATGTTCGTAATTTGTGCATTTTACTTTGCCAATTCCATCTGTCTGGTGATGTCACATGGCTGCAACAGTTCAGTGCAATCTGTTGGCCTGCAGCAAGGTGAACCGTTTCACCCCTTGTTGAACCCAAGTGTAGTCTAAGCGAGGACGATGATGTACAATACGTTAACTTAACATGTACTTCAACATGAAGACGATCAGAGTGGTGAGAAGGAGGTGGTGGTTGGGCAGCAAAAGCTAAAGACAGTTTGTTGTAAAGAGCTCTACTGTCTGTCAGCAGATGTTTAAGGTGAGCACATTGTTTTATTATAAGATGCATTTCAGAGATCAGCTTCCACCAGCGTCCTATTATAAGAGCATCTCATTCATGATACCATGATGGTGTTTTGAGGTCCTCATCCGTTGTACAGTAAATACAGCTGTCAGATAAATGTAAGAACTAGTGGTGGGACACAATCAAAAAAAAATTATTTAGAGGTGATGTAATTGACAAATCTCGAGTAATCACATTTTTATCAAACAGCAATACTGGACACAAAAATCATTTTTTTTTAATTCAAATTAATTCTGGTTGACGACTGAATCAACAAACAGACATAAACGTGAACTTAAACAACAGCCTTTTTTTGTCATTGATATTTGTCTGCATTTTTCATCTGTCCACTACATTCACAGGTTAGTGCAAACTCAAAGTGGCACTATATTATATTATATTATATTATATTATNTATATTATATTATATTATATTATATTATATTATATTATATTATGTTATGTTATGTTATGTTATGTTATGTTATGTTATGTTATGTTATATTCAACATTTTAAGACTTTTTGTCTGAAAACTCAACCCTGCTCTTATCCAAGTTGCCTCATGCTACGTGTCCACAGGATCTGTCAGTTTCTCTCTTCCTATTCATTTGTTGTGTAGTGAAATGCCCCTCGTCGTGTTCTGGAGCGTCGCAGGGAGTTTCCAGCGACAAGGCGTAGCGTCACCCGCAAGCTCATTTGCATAAAGTAGAATTGACTTCAACTGTCCCTGTGGACATGTAGCATCAGGCCTTGATCAGAAACAACTTTCCTCCCAGCAAGCCAAGCGATGCGTCTCGTCTTCATCACTGTTCCAAACTTTCTCGTGCGCTCAGTGCATCCTGTACGTCTTCTTCGTTTAGGTTCATTAGCACCACCTAGCGGCTGGAGAGTGTTACCAGTGTTACCGCTGTGCCAGAAATCAGGGAACTGAGAAAACTTCCATTGAACAGCTCCTGACAGACAGTGGCGCTCTATGCAACAAACTGTTTTCGTCCAGTTCCTGCACAGACACAACTTCCGATTGCGTTCATGCTGATACACATTTTGAGGAGCGTCTTTTATGCGCCTGTGAAGATTCTCAATCATCCGGGTCATGGTTATTCTCGTAGATTAATTGTAGCAGCTGGACTTGCTTGAGTTCCTTGAAGACGTTCCACCTCTCATCCAAGAGGTTTCATTAGTTCTGACTGACTAGTTGGGAGTTCCAGATACTGATATCCTAAGGAGCCATTAACACCTGAGTTTGGGTTTCAATTGGGGGCTTGTTGCTCCTCTCCCTCATTATGTGAGTCGTTAGTGCTCCCCCGATACAATGGGGTTCGTTAGGGTCTGTTGTGTTAAGGTGTGAATGTGGATTCATCTTCCTGGGGTGAAATCTTAGGACTGAACTGGAAACAGGTGAGAGGTGATGCCTCAGACCTCCACCTCTGTTGAGGGATGGTCTTTCCAGTTTGACAGATGGCTTCTTTCACCCCTCTCTCAAACCATCTGTCCTCCCTGGCCAACATCTAGTAACAGTAATAGTAATAGTAATAGCAATAGCAATAGTAATGTCTTTTATGTGTTCCTCCTCACGCATGTTACACTCGAAATTAAATTCTACCATTCAAACACAGAGGAAAAAATGTAATATACTGCGAAAGATGCACTGATCAAATGTCCACTTTGCATATTTGACCACCCTGTTCACGTTGCCTACTGAGTGACTCTTAGCTGTCCGATCACTTGTATTAATTTCTCCTGTTGATGTTTTGCTAATTATTAAAAATGGAATTGGGGCCCGACAAGAGAGTAAACATGATTCTCCACCTGTCACTGTAAAAATACTGATATGAAACAGTTAATTTTGGAGTTACAACTGTGATGGTGTGACCTCGTGGGTCTCTCAGTCCCTTCTCTGAACATCACTGAAATGCAGCTTATTGGATCCCAGGAAGAACAAACTGTTGGAGGTAGAACATGAAAGCTTTTTAAAGCAGGTGACCTTTCCTTTGAGAATTAAAAACAAATCTGATTCTGATATATCAGTTGAGATACCTCTTTTTAACAGCAATGCATAACATACAGAAAGATGTTTGATTTTGAGTCTAAGCATTGAACATAAGATATTGGGTTGAACTGACATTTTGCCACGTGGCTTCATCGATGCAGTAAATGATATAGGGATTGACAGGGAACGCTGCTGCAGAAATGGGATGAATCGAAGCTCCAAGCAGTGACCCTCCATGTGCCTGAGGAATGCTGGCTGAGACAACTTCATTTGTACCACACATGCACAATACCCTTAAAACCAAAGTTACGAATGTAACTACAGTTCTATGAATCCCGAATGACCGCGAGAGGCGGTGCTTTAAGCACTGAATATTCTCCTTTGCGCATGTGCAGTTCGAGTATGAATACCAACAATGTCACCTGTGACACCTGGATGACCCCGGGGGAGACTATATCTTCCGGTGTCATCAGAGTATCTGTTCCTTTTCATCTTCTCGTTCGCGCAGATCGCTATCGCTCCGATAGCGTTATCCAAAACTGCATTGCTAAAAGCTCAACTACGTCCTGTCGCTTTGTAGTTCCATGACCGTGTTGGTCGGGGCAGCGGACTTTTCCCACTGGATTGTGGATGTCTTTTCCCTCTTATGTGAGGTGTTACGTTTGTTTAGAATCGCCCGCATACCGTGGCGTCTCGCGTGGTAAGACAGCGTTGTCGCTTCCCTCTTCGGACAGAAAGTGGCTGTATTACTAATAATAATTAGTGCCACGGGCTGAGCACGAGGCCTTACTTGTACAGAATCTTCTCACGAGAACACGAGGATTCTGAGTGACAGAGTGCTCTGGCGGTCATTTGTGATTCGTAGAACTGTAGTTACATTCGTAACTTTCGTTGTATTTCATCCCTGCTGACCACCAGAGGTGGTGCTTTAAGCACTGAATGACTTACACCAGCAAAGTCACAAGGAATCCTGATTACAAACCTTAATGAGTAGAATCAGAGGACTCCAGCAACAGAACCACACCCAGTGGATGGGGGGTAGCATCATTCACCCTGTAAAACCTGGAGAATGTTCCTATTCAAGCGCAGCTGACCCAAATAGCTCCCCTGGTTGCACTGGGAGGCTACAGAGAGTCCTCCTACTTGCCTCTGTCAGATTTGCCTGCGCAAGCCATACCTGGCGGCAAGTCTGGACCAAGATGGACATCATCCTCCCAAGCTCTCTGGTTATGAGGCCAAATGCATACAACGATGCATCACTGAGGCTTCTAGGGGCAACATCCACACTGTCTTCTTGCAGAGAAGCTGAGAGGGCCAGCATGATGTGGGATAGGGAGTTACCAATACGACCGGCCTGCGCTCCAGCATCATAAGCCCTTGTAAGCAGGTCATCTGTGATCTGACACTGAGGTGAGGTTCACCTGGCGTTCTGACGCAGAGCCTCATCAGGGGACACAATGAGGGATGCGACGGCAGGCTCAATAGCGGGCATGTGGCCCAGGCCAACTCTCGCTGCATCATGCATGACTGCCAGGGCTCGGCTATCAGCTTGCAGCCGGGAACAAGCCTTACTATCTCTCCAAGTAGCGTGTAACACATTCAGGTAGTCCACTGAGTGAGGAACCACAAAGGCAGAGGGGGCAGGCCTGCTCCTAAAGAGGGCACTTGCATGAGCTGATTCCACCTGCTGTGGTACATCCAGCCCCAGTCGATCCAGGGCCATGCGCATAGTGGCCCGCATGGAACTGTCCTCTGTCTCAGCCAGTGAACTCTGAGCTGAGTGGGACCTTGGCTCTGAGGCCTGGAAGGCCCCGTCTTCTGTATCCTCTGCATATTCACCAAAGTAGGTCGCTGAGGCTGCCAGAGAAAGAGCATTGTCCACTGGAACCTGCACCATATGCTGAAGGGAGGGAGCACGCTGCCTGTACCAGCAAGGTTCATCAAAAGCAAAACAATTTATCAGTCAGTACAGATCTCAAGTGAACTGAAAGAAACTTACTCTACCTCTTCTTTCTTTCTTTTTTTTTCTTTTTCACCCAATGGGTTATCCAGTTGAAGAGCATTAACACAAAATGGGACCGTGTGCCGCAGGGAGGTCGCGCGCACGCAGCCTTTGCAAGCACACATCAATTATGTTAAATAACCAAATGCAATTAAATCGGCTTAACAAATGCCGGGAGGACAGGGTGTAAATGCAGCCGTCACCGACAAAGTGTGCACCAACAATATAAAATAGAAAATTTCCTTGCAAAAAATTTGGGAGTCTGCCGGGATTTAAATGATGATTTTAGAATTACCAAACCTACTAAAAACTTTGAATAACCTAAGCCTCAGCTGTGTGAAGGGCTGTTGCTGTGTGGAGGGAGCAGGTGGGGAGGGGGGGTGGGGAGCAGTGTTGGAGCGTTGCTGGGCAACGAAGCACACAGCTGCAACGAAGCACACAGCTGCGACAGATACTTCGTTTAACTGTCAAATCAGTCGAAGGAAACAGAAGGAGAAGACCTCAAACAACCGCAATTTTTGTCAAAACCATGGGTTTGAGAGAAAAGCCGAGCACATTTTCAGAAAGCCAAGACCTTGGGCATTACAGAGATGTATTTTTTTTATCTTCGTAGAGTAAAAAATGAGCGCACAATCATTTGAGAAGAAATGTGTAAATTTGTTGTCCTTGAGAAAACTCAGTAGCTGTCTTTGAATGGGTGCAGATGGGGAAGGAAGAGAGACTTGTGGAGGAACAAGGCTCCAAACCCCCCCCCCCAAACTTTATTCTGTGGGCTTCCAAAGTGACAGTGTGAGGGGGAGGACAAATTTTCCTACGTTTTGATGTAAAAATTATGTCTGTGGCATAAAAATTGTGGCCAGGGTGACAAGTTAAAAAAAAGTTTACTGTGTGATTTTTTTTCTGAGCTCCCACTGTAGTGATGTCATCACTCACTCTAAAGGACCACATACACACCCATTGTAAAGGCTGAAAAGGGGTGAAAAAGTTGAGAGGTTGTCACGAAGAAACGATTGAAGATATGAAAAAAGTAGAAACGCTTTGAAACAGAGGAAGGGCGCGTCAACATTTTAAAGTTTAAATGGAGTCTCTAGGTGAAAGGATGCCTGAGCAGTGGAGGTTTGAGAAGTAGTGTAATTTTTTGTGGTTTTCTCGTCCGTCCAATTCATTTTCAATGGGAGATTTTTGCGACGTTTTCGCGAATTGCGTCACGAAAAATGTGATTTTTGTAAATCTGTATGTAAGCACACTATTCCCGATCGAGCCGCACGTTTTGATGTATAATTTGCATGGGTGCTCTCAAATCTGTGGGAGGAGTAGCCGCCCGTGCTCAGCCCGTGGCACTAATTATTATTAGTAATACAGCCACTTTCTGTCCGAAGAGGGAAGCGACAACGCTATCTTACCACGCGAGACGCCACGGTATGCGGGCGATTCTAAACAAACGTAACACCTCACATAAGAGGGAAAAGACATCCACAATCCAGTGGGAAAAGTCCGCTGCCCCGACCAACACGGTCACGGAACTACAAAGCGACGGGACGTAGTTGAGCTTTTAGCAATGCGGTTTTGGATAACGCTATCGGAGCGATAGCGATCTGCGTGAGCGAGAAGATGAAAAGGAACAGATACTCTGATGACACCGGAAGATATAGTCTCCCCCGGGGTCATCCAGGTGTCACAGGTGACATTGTTGGCACGCCTGCTGATAGGGGGGGACAAACGGGTCTGTTGTCCCGGGCCCAGAGTGGGGTGGGGGGCCCAGAACTGGACCCTCATTGAATTATGGATGTTTTTTTCCCCAAAGAAGGGCTATTAATGGAAAAAAACAGTGCAATATTTGAGTTAGAAGTTTAAATTTGTTTTCGTCTGAACTGTCCTTAATATCTTTGGAGTTGCCCTCCACCCCCACCTCCAACATAAAATGGTTTGGCCCCTGATCAAAATTTGTTGTCCTTTTATTGGAAGTTCGGATTTTGCACTTCAGCACCAAAATGTCCGCTCAGCAGAAGTCTGGTGCTCAGAAAAGGAAAAAGAAGAGAAAAAGAGAGGAAGAAAATAGAGGCCTTAGAGATTTGCTTAAAAAATACTTTTAAAAAAGGTGGTGACAACGAAGCTGGAACTAGTAAAGTCAACGTAGAGCAAGGTAAGAAACAGCGGAGCCAGCGTTTGTCAGCCTTGTAACGTTATTTGGCTAGCTCTTAATATCCATTAGCTATGATTAAAATCCTGACAAAACACGGGTTTTTTCTAATATCATCTTGTCCAGGGCCCAGTGAAGGCTGTCAGCTGGCCTGATTGTTGGTATTCATACTCGAACCGCGCATGTGCAAAGTGGAATATTCAGTGCTTAAAGCACCGCCTCTGGCGGTCAGCACAGAAGAAATAGAACTAATTTTCACCACTTTTTGATGCATGATTGCAAGTTTACTGCCATCATTTTGGATAATAACAAATACCAAGAGTACTATTCAGAGCAGGTCTTTGCCCACTCAGGTGTATAAAACAAAAGATTCGTGGAGAGTATGTCAGTTTGATTTGAACATTTGAACATTTCATTGTCATTGCTGGTCTCAGAGTGCATGTTTATTTCTTTATATTCTCGTCAAGCTTTTTTTAATGTTACGACAAGATGTTAGCAAACCCAGATCCTACATGTACTGTGAGAAAAGTTTTAAATATGTACACCACAACTGTCTTTTCTTCATCTAATGAAGACTTTCTATTTGTCCAGACACTAGCAGTTGTACCTGACAAAACATAACATATAATTAAAATTACATTTGTCTTTATTTTATTTTATTTTTTTCTGAACTTAATATTGGGAAAGTAACTTGTGTTTGTTGGTGTCTGCGACTCCTTCATCGTACTGAATTATGTGCATTAGTTTGCATTTTGCCCGATTAGTTTGATGTGCTTCTCTTTGCCGATGTAAATGACTCTGAACTGTATGTGTCCTTTTTATTCAGCTGAGGGTAGCTTCAGGAACACTGACTGAAGTCTTAGCAGTAGAAGTTTGATAATATGCTAACTGCCTAAAACCCTAAGAAAGAAACACTCTACGGGAAGACAGGGAGGTGTTTCAGATGTGAAAAGATTGCTGTAGCTGAGTAACAACAAGAAGAGGTGACCTAGGATAGAAGGAAAAGAAGGTCTAAGAACTAACATCCTATGCCTTCGTCTCTGTTATACTCCTTCCCTGTCCAAAGAGTAAAGGTTCGTTCTAATTCATGAATGTCTTGCTTTGTTCTTTCAGATGGTTGTCCCTGCCCTCCCAGCATGACCAGTCCACCATGACCCTGTCCAGTACAGCATGCCCCATGATGCTGTGTGTAAGGGACAGACTGTTGAACCTCCACAACGTCCTGAGTCTGTCTCTGTTCCAACTGGCTTGGCAGGGCCTGGCGGAGAGACTGGACAGCTTCCTCTACCAAGATGTAAGAGACAAGTACCCACTGAAACCATGCTGTTGGTCTGTGCCCGTTCTAGTGAGTGTGTTGGGTTGCAGTAGTGTTACTGCATAGCAAGCACACGATTGTTGTTTTCACTCTTCATTATTATTTGTTTATCCAGAAAGTTTTTCGACGTTCAATAACTTCAGAACGCTTAAAGCTAGAAACATGGATCTAAAACTAAAATATGAATGATATGGACGTGGTGCTGATATGTGTAATAATTAATTATATATATATATTTTAGGAATGTTTAAAGGATAGGATCCTATGGGAGAACAGAGTCAAATGTGATGGGGCTTACTTACATTCAAAAGCTTACCCCTCTAATTAAAGACTAAAATACTTACAAGGTTTGAATATTTTAATGTGTAGCTTTTCATTTGTTAAACATTCTGAAGTTTTGGCGATATTTGCCATCAAAGTGAGACTTAGAGACTTAAACATAATATGCATCAGTTAAAAAAAAAAAAAAAAAAAAGGTTTTCCGAACCAATATGTCTGTAACCTGGGGTGTTTTATTTTAAATTTGCATTGTGCATTTTTCTTTCTGTGGAGCATATGGACACTTAACAGCATTTACTGTTTTATGAGAAATTAAGAATATATCAGTGTTTCATCTGCAAAACTGCAGCCGATGATGATTGTTTTGAAAAGGGCTATAATGGGGCCCTGACGTATCATAGTTGCTTGGAGTTGAGGTGGTACACAAGCGTGGACCAGTCGCTATAATTGGCATTAAAATGTAGACACAAGGATCTTCCTTCTTGCAATGTTAATTTCAATCATTTTTGATGACACAATCTTGATAATTGTCTTTGTGCACTTGTGTTTTGTGGAGTAAAAAGTAATGCCCTGAGTTTAAGCTGCTACAGCAGCTTATACTTCATAATATCTTTGACTGCAGCTCTTTCATTCACATTGCCATTGCTGCTTCATGCCATTGCTGGCATCTTCTGTCAGCTTGTCCAACACATCTTGGGATCATTTATTGTTCAGTGAAGATGGTGGCCGCCTCATCACACACACACACCATTTGTGGGTAAACTGAGTTGTTTGGTACTTCCATGTGCTTCATCTGACTTTAAAGTCTCACAGATGCCACCTGGTGGTTGTCGGTGCACCTAACTACATCCCTTGGGGAGTATAATGGAAATAAGGTGAAATAAAGCGTCCTGGTCAGCAGCCACAGCATTTGTGTTGCACTCTGCTTTGTTAAATAACATGAACTTATCTTAATGTTCATGATGTAATAACTGTAAATACCCCTCTCATATCAGTTTCTCTTCAAATATTTGTTTTAACAACGACACTTGAGATTCCCTCACTAATTACCTCGCTAACTGGCTGATTGATAATATGTGGCTCATCCAGTATGCTCTTGTCTCATTATATCAATGTGTCCCTGTCAGGTGATCCTGTGTAATCACTTCAGTGATGGAGGAGCAGCTCAGCTTCAGTTTGACATGACCAGAAACCTGTTTCCTCTCTTTGGTCACTACTGCAAAAGACCTGAAAACTTCTTCAAACAGTAAGTTTTTAGACTACAAATCATGCACACCAAACTGAAAACAGACATACAGACCTCACAAAACATTAATTCAATTCAAGTTTATTTGTATAGTGCAGTTTACAGCATATGTCATCTCACAGCCTTAACATAGTCAGGTATAGACCTCACAGGTTTAAACAGAGAACCCAACAATCCAGAGTAGTGTTTGGACTTCCTCTGAGCAAACGGTTGGCAACGGTTGTTTCATAATAAAGACTTATGTGACCCATTCTTTTTCTGTTTTTCTGCATCCATGCCATGTGACTTGTGAAATAACAGCCACAGAAGTCCACAACAGGACAGAGGTTATGATTGGATGAACCAAACACAGGATTGTCCCCAAAGAGATCGGAGTTTGACTTTTTTACATTTTGCTTTTTTTTTTTTTTTTGAGCAACATGTTTTTTCTGCGGCTGCTGTATTTTCAGTTTTCTGTTGCTGATATTTTGCAATTTTTGGCACTGCCTTTGTTTATGTTAAAAATAAATAAAGTACTTGGTTAAGATTATGCAACAAAACGACTTGGCTATGTTTAGGAAAGATTGTAAAACTGATATTCTTCTCTTCCTGCTCTCAACGAAGGCGGACGCTTTTTCTCTCGCACCCTCCTTTGCCCTTATCTGCCCTGCTTGCTTCTCTTTGCCTTGTGCTGTCTCTGTCTGAATCTATCAGAGCCTCTCTCTGCATTTCTCTCCAAACTTGAAATCATGGATTTGATCAGCTGGTCACTCAATGCAATTGATCAGATTTTCTCGATGAGAAAACTGGGCAAAGGAGAGCCCGCCTGCCCTGACGGAACGTTTGCACGATACACGATGGACTCCTGGCAGGAGTGGAGGGTCTCTATACTTTCCATGGAGGATGTTGAAGACATCGACATAATTGGGATCATCATAACAGGCTTCCTGCTGTTTGGAGTTTGCAGGTTCCTGTTTTATCTCGGAAGTTCGGAAGACGATGGCAGCACTTTCGGCAGTTGAGAAGCTGCCCGTCATAGAGGGAATGTTTCAGGCTGTCAACACTCAGACTCAAGCGATATGTGAACTTAATTGGATGGGATTCCAGAACTTATTCGCAAGATGGACACCAACTTGGAGCAGTTGGACAGACCGAGCCATATGTAATGGGCCATCAAATTCGGCTTTTTGGATCACAGAGAGAACCAGTGGAATAGTAAATTGCAAAGTCAGCCTGACCCAAACAATCTTCGTTATCTTCATTCGGCTCCCCCACTTCAGCCTTGGAAGGCTGATATCTCTCGACTTCTCCTGGATGTTATGCAGACAGATGCTCAGCCCCTCCCCACCCCCCTTCTTCTCCTGTGAACTTTGTCTCTGGATCAGAACTCTTCAAGGTCCTCTCCATGGCAACGGCCGTGTCTCGTCACCAGCATGAGACAGCAGAGACAATGTTGAGTCTGGGCAGTGATGAAGTCACACATATACATATGTGGCCTAATGAAATGTGAAATAACACCAGACACAAAAACTAAATTTTGGGGTCTTTTATTCCTCGACTCCTCAAAAGAATAGGAGCAGTGTTCATATAGATTTGGAGTGATTTTTAGTATGTTATAATGAATACAGGCAATGCAATGGAACACTAAACTTCAGAGCAGTAGCATTTCATCCCATTGACATTTAAATCATAGTACGTAACAATTTGAAGCTTAATATAAAATAATTTAAATCACAATGCCTTAACACTAGAAACTCAGTGCATGAACACTCTAAACATCAGTGCATAAACACTATAAGGCTCAGTGTATTAACACTGTAAAGTTCAGTGCATAAACTGTAGTAGTTGTCCCTAATGAAACAAAAAAAATACACACAACCACACTGTTAATACATCGCAGGTCATCATTGACAACAACAGGTAATAATATAAATCAATATACAATTCTTTGTACTCACAGTAGTCTTAGCTAGACTTAGCTAGTCGCTGAGCTACTTCACATGCCCAGGTTGCGGCAAGACGAAACCCAGTTTTCCTCCTGCAAACTTAGAAACATTGCAGTCTTGAGTATATTCACAAACAGACACAGTTACAACATATTTACAGTGTATGAACCTCACACATTAACAGTCTTCTTCGCTTCACCACCTTCTCACTAACACAAGCAATACACAGCGATAAAAGTCAGCATAACGACATCGCCGTCGGCGTATAAACAGCACAATTTGCGTTCATACAAAGTCAACCCAGGATGCACATGTATCTCGCTGTGCAAATAAAGTACTTTTAAGGTATATTTACCCGTTTTTGTCAGCAAAACATCGCCACACTGGTACTCAGAAATTCCCGCAACCCAGCGTTCTCTTCTCTTCCCGTTTTCCCTGCATCGCTTCATGACCGACTTCTGGCTGTTGATTTTCCCATCCGCACAGTACACAGCGCCTTCTCGTGGCATAATTCTTAATTGTCAGTTTTCCACTTGGCTACATACCATAGAGTGTATAAAAGATGGACGTAGCAACCGGCCCTGAAAAATGAAGCCAACCCGGAAGTGTCAAAAACCTGCAATATCACTACGTCCGCTAGTCCTGGCTCCAAAAAAGCCCTGGCTCCCATAGAAATGATTTGGAAAAGAAGTGATCACAGATCACGAAATACTGCATTCCTACAGCTCAGGATTTTTTTAAAATTAGTTTTCATAGTCAGGTCCAGAGATCAGGTGGCCAATCTGAAAATAAATCAATACTGAATTTTTTTTAAAAACTCCTCAAAATTTTGCGGGGCAAGGGGCGTGGCTGGCTTGATTGACAGTCGGCAGTGACCATATAGATGAAGCGAGCAGAAAGCGGTAAATGTGGGCGGGCAGAGAGGGCCTGCCTCTCAATCCGTCTGACCAATCGCTGCTCCTGTGGTTCCGCCCCCCTCTGACGATTTTTGCGTCACTGGCTCCAAAAATCCAAGATGTCAACCAGGAAGCAGCAAAGCCCTGGCTTCATTTTCTCAGTGCAGAAACCAACGGGTGACGTCACGGTAGCTACGTCCATCTTTTATACAGTCTATGCTACATACACAAAGACACACAACACACATACACCCAGGACTCAATGCCTGGTTGGCTCCCCACCCCCTCTCCCTCCCTTGTCACAGTGCAATGTGCTGCGTGCTGCGTGCTGCGTGCTGCGTGCAGCGTCTGAGCTGTGACACCTCCCCCCTCCCACATGTGCAAGTCTTGAGTTTTTTGTTGTGGTGTTTTTATTATGTTGCTTATGTGCTGAGGTGTTTTTTCCTACTCCCACACTGTGGGATCCTGATGTGTTTTCTCTGCTCTCTCTGTCTTCCAGTGTTAAAGAAGCATGTGTCATCCTGTGTCTTAACGTGGGCTCCGCTATTCTACTAAGGACTGTCCTTAATGAGTCAGAAGAGGAGCTGAGAGACTGGGCCAGTGCCGAGGATCCTCCACCAGAGTCTGCACTCAATGAGTTAGGGGTTTACTGTCTGGCCCCCTGTGATGTGCTAATTCTCCTCAACCTGAGGGCCTCCTGGCCTGGACAATAACGTTTTCTGTTACTGTGGCATGGACATCAAACTGACTGCTTGACACACGTTCCTTCCATTACTTTCTTTGCTGTTATTAGCTTTGGTGGCGGAACATGGTAAACATCCATGTTTATTGTGTTTTGTGGTCGTGAATTAAAAGCTGTTGAGATACGACGATAACTTCTGCCATCCCTTAACTGAAAACATGTCAAAGCATTGCTCAGAGAGAGAGTTAGCAGTGATATAAACTCCTGATCTCACACTCATATTTACATCTGTCAATCACAGGTTCGTACTAAAGGGGGCAGCTGTCCAGTGTGCTAACTGACTAAGCATGAAAATTACATAAGAGAACTTAATCCCGATTTTTACACAGATACACTATCCATACAGTATGCATTGTTAAAAATGCATTTGATTAAATGGTACCTAGTAAATAGAAATAACAGATATGGCCTAAAACATTTGGCACATCCATCCATCCATTTTCTATACACCGCTTAATCCTCAC